TGTTAGTATTGCTTGAAGATGAAACTTCTCATAAAAACAATGTGACTTTGATCCTGTATGCATTGTGTTAGTTGACAACTTCTTTGGGACACTTGCTTCTTAACTCCTGACTAATATTCAGTAAAAGGCAGTAAAAGCTTGATATGTGCAGTATAATGTACCTGTACTGTATTAGCGTGCACAATCATTTTTATATATGTGCATGATTTTACAACTAAGACTTGACCTTATTTGTCTATTGATCTGATCTCTAGGTTTCTATTCATTGTGTTCCCCATGTACTTGTATCACTACACTTATTGTCATTATCCACAGTGTCAGGATATAACTTGGACTATAAGAAGGAGAGGATTATTACTTTTCCTTTATCATAAATCTTTTTGGTGTTCTGTTAGGCATTTTATATTATCAGCTTCTTTTGATCCTAAGTTTTATGCATTTTCATGTCTGCTTTTTCATCATTCTCATTCTATTGGGATTTCATGACAGTTTCTAATTCTTTATAGTAAGTCAATTTGATAGAGAAGATATAATTTCATTTCAATGCATCTTATCTATTTTGGTATCTTTGTTTCAGATTCGAGGATCAATTCCACTTCTTTGGGAGCAGATTGTTGATTTGAGCTATAAACCGCAACTTAGAATCATTAATCATGAACAAACGGTACTACTTCAACATGAAATGCCGATTTCTTTTGCAATTTGAGTTGCATTATATCATCTGTCCATTTACAACCAAGGACGTATTCCCCTTATTCCAGCCAAAAGTTGTAGAGCGCCATTTCCACAATCTTTTACAAAGATATGGAGAAACTATAGCAGTTGATCTAACAGATAAAGTAAGACTTCTTTCTCTGTTCTGCTTTCACCCTTAGCACTGTATTTTTAGGTTCCTTTTTGTATTAGTTCAATCAGTTTCACGCAGATGGAAATTCTTTATATTAAGATGTAGTTTACTGTAATATTTCCGATATTCTCATGGAATGGTGGCTTCATAGTTTTCCACCTGCTCATAGTCACATATTTGGTTGGTGATTTTGTCTTTTACATACAAAAATTTGACAGTTCAATCAGGTTCTAAATACTTTACATACTTTTTTTAAGAGGAAATACAAATATTTTATAAAATTGTCTATCTACCAAGTGTAGCAAGGAGATGAAGGTCTGTTAAGTATGGCATTTGCTGCGGAAACACAGAAGCTTCCAAATGTGAGGTGACATTTTTACTATTTTATTCATGAATCTACTGAGTTTCATTTGTCGATGTGTTACTAATTTTGCTTATCTATACCCATAGCTTATCTGCTTTGTTTTTCATCATGGATTTTTAACCAGTCCATGGCGATACATTGTACACAATTGAAGCAGATACCTATTCCTTTTTTGGCTTCCATGTTCTCCTTCTTGTTTTGCTATATAAAGATGGTTACTATTTGTATGGTGGGTGTGATAGTTCCTTCTTTGTTAGTAGACTTTTTGTGTGGTGTAGTCTATTTTTCTCTTCTAATCCAATGTATTTATTAGTTGTTTTCAGAATAAAATGATTAAACAGAAACTTGATCAGAAAGTTTATTCTTCCTATACTCAAAGATTCTCCTGATGAACCCTTATATTAAAGTAGGTCATAAAGGCAAAAAAATCTAAGAAGTATTGTTTTATTTCTCTCCTAAATCTGTCTATAAGTACATCCATAGCTTGATCCCAGACTAGAGACCATAACATTTTGGTATTAAAGCAAGTAGTTATGGCAGATTCTGGGTGTTTCCATCATTTGGTGCTTTCCTGAAATTGTATCAGGCAAGTAGGACAAAGGATAGAGTTAAAAAGGAGGAACATAGTATTGTCTTTGAGGCAAAACTGTAGGGAATTGCTTACAAATTGGAAGAATTGTCAAGAGACATTTAGGTGACACAAGGAGAAAGAAATGATGTGACCAAAAGGAGTGTGGATAGACTCAATAGAGGCAGACCTGATAGAAGAAGTGGAGGTAACGCAACAACAGCAGATGGAGTAGGTACTAACAAAGAATTCCAGGCTAGACTTTCCTCTACAATGGAACCCACATACCCTTCGATGGTTAAATTGTTGTGAGTGCTTCCTCTGTCACCACAGAACACCTGCCAAGAAGAAAGTTGGCTTGGCCTTGTTCTATCTAGAGCAAGACACTCAACTGTGGTTCATTAAACATGAAAGATACCAAGCTGATCTGTCAAATAACTTTTT